GAGCTTAGCAGGGTGGAGCCAGCACTGCAGGGTGACCTGGGAGTCTGTGGGGTCGGGGAAAGTCCTAGCTCCACCTCGCAGGCCCCTGCCGCGGGCCCGAAGCAAACTAACCCCTTCAATGGCCCTCTGGATGGAAGCTGGGATCAAGAAGCTAATATATCTTATACTGTATCTTCCAGTTAGAATGGAAGTGCACATCAGAATGTGAAGTGGATTATTTGGGTTCCTGAAGTCATTGTAGATAGAGATATGAAACTGCCTCCAACTCTTCCCTAACTGATTCTTTTCTCACATGAAATATTTGCCGTGTGTTTGTTTTGCTACTTGCATGCCCCACTAAGCAATACACCACACTTCCATGCTAAGATTCCTAATCTTGCTGAATCAGAGTCTAATCTTGATTTGATGCCTTTGAAATACATTAGTATAAATTGGATTATTGAAGTATATTGGACTAAATATACTGGGCACAAATCAGCACAGTTTACTAATTCTGTACATGCAAAGTCTTTAGTAATAATGTTACAAAATAATTACAAATGTCATTATGGGAATGGCACTCAATAAATGATTTCTGTGCCCAGTTTTGAAAACTTGGGACCTTAAGACATCTCACTCAAATTAGGAGGTAAATCTATGACAATGTTTTTACTTGAATTCTGTCTACATTATCCACAATGTTTAATCCTAACAAAACTTCCAGCACCAGAACTCTGTTGGGTCAACGTGAAAAGTAAAGTAATTATTTACCTAGTTGATGGACACTGTTGTCAGGGAGTGTTGTTTGAAGGTATTCAGTTCTGCACGAATGGCCTCACTTCTGCCATCATGCAAGTAGTTTCCCAAATGTACTTACCACTTGGTATTGTTTGGCCATGGACCTTGTCAGCCCGGACCGAGCAAGACTTTAATGCTTTTATGCTTATTTCTATATCCATCATGTATGCATGGGGGAATACTTTCCCAGTGTTCATAGATTCCATTGTCTGAAAAATAGGTAGTAATATCAAAGTCTAAACATTCAGCAATAAAATTCCATCAAGAATATACAGTCAATCATTTTAGATTTTAGTAATTATGTACTAGAGATTTAGAAATATAAGGTTTCATAAATCTTTTCTTTTTTTTGATTTTCGAGACAGGGTTTCTCTGTAGTTTTCGGTGCCTGTCCTGGAACTAGCTCTTGTAGACCAGGCTGGCCTCGAACTCACAGGGATCCGCCTGCCTCTGCCTCCCGAGTGCTGGGATTAAAGGATTCATAAATCTTATGTTCCTTTTGAAAGCAACTTAAGAAAGAATTAAATGACTTGTCTGTGGTTAAATAACAAAATCCTGATGAGAGAGGTAGTGACATTCTGATTGTCTGATCCCACTAAAATTTCTGGTCAATTCTAAGTATCTCTGACTAAGCATGTCTAAGAGCAGGTTACATAAGTACACAGCTGTCTCCACCTCTACCAGAGTTCCAACAAGTTTTGACTTATCATCTGACTGTAGCAACAATTCAGGGTCTGAACAATGCACAATGTCACCATCACCATCCTATTTCTCTCATTTATAAATGGTCTGCTCATACAATTGCAAACCAAACTAACTAGTCAGTTGGAAGTTTCAATGCTTCCAGGAGCTTCCCCACTGTGTCCCTTTGGTGTAAGTTAATACTCACAGCCAGCAGTAGATGGTCTCTTTCCAATAAGTCAGCCAGCTTGTTCAGCAGCCGCCCCCTCTCTGAAGCATTCATGGTGCGCCATGGAGAGCCAATCTGAAAAGCCTTCACGGTTTTGTCCACATCTGCCTGGAGGTCACAAAGCATTCATTTCAGGATGTTCAAAATTCTAGACTGGCGAGCAAAACATCACAGCTTAATAAACTAGAACACAGTCCTCAGGTGGACCAAGGAACTCCACCATATACCACCTGCCTAGCTCAGTCTGATGAGTAACATACTCTTGGGGAAAGAAAGCAAGCCATCTTGTACATATTCTCGGGAGAATTGAAAGTGTGTAGCCAAGTAGGCATATTGAAATGAAATCAAGAAAATCACAGAAAGAACTTAGCAGTCACCCAGAAAAGGGTGCAACTCCCTTGCCTGGATCACAAAAATTGATGGACAGCTTAGACTGCAGTGCAAGGCCTCCGAACAAACTATTGTCTGATACCCAGTGTGTGCGCCAGGTACCAAGAACTCCTTGGCTCAGCTGTGCCCCTGCTATTGAAGCAGCCTGCTGGGCAGCCGACCCCTATACATACTCACCTGTCTGAACTGCTCTTTTCTGTTCCAGACCCAGCTTGGCCATGGGTCTTGCAGTTGAACTCTGCAGCTTCTCTATTCCCCCTGAGTCCAGCCACTGCCCGGCAGCTCTGCCCAGGCACGGATTCCTTATCATACAGGTTCTTTCTAAACCACCTCTGAAGCATCTGAACTCTGCTGCAGACTCTTTAACTTGTATTAATTTAGTTATCCATAAATGCATATACAGTGGTCCAAATATGTTTACTATGTGATGTGAGATATGAAAATTAATATTAGTAATTTCCTGGAAGAAAGAATTCACATTTTCCTCAAGAAGACTACTAAGCTGGGTTACTTTTATACCAAATTGTTCGCATTTGAATGGTTAAATCTTGTGAATTTATTGCTATTCAATACAGTTACACATTATGGAAAAACACAAACATATTCATCTGTGCTTGGATATGACACATAAGCTTCATATGACTTATTATTGGTGATATTTATATAAAAATCAAACTGTAAATAATTATTTTCCATTATGTAACAGTAATTTTGCATTAGCCAAAATTATAAGTCTCATAAATGTTTATGATAAATTTTTTGTAGTATTTTTTTTAATTTCAAGCTTCCTGTATTGTACATTTTTATTCAGGTGCTGGCTTTTCCAAAATACTTTTGAATTAAACAGGAATCAGTGAGCAGGTTAACTGTGATTTACTATCATCAAATCATGTGACCTAGGAAAATAAAATACTACAGTTTGAAGTCAGAGCCACTGAAGAGTAAAAATATATATATTTGCTCTGGCCCCTGAACCCACCTTGTGATACCATAAAAGGCTTCATTTGACCTCTTGGCAGCCCCATTCTCCTTGTAGATAGAATCTCCAAAACCTTTAGCCTGTGATATAATGAGTAAGTCAAGCATATCAGACTTGACTGTGAACTTTACCAGGTTAGAACCGCCCTCTAAGCAAAGCCAGCCACTCTTCATTAGATCTCTCACAAATTGTTTGAACATCAACAATTCTAAAAGGACAAGTTGGTTAATGATTCCAAAACAGGATACAGATATAGGAATGTGGCTGTGAAACCAGCTCTTGCTTATCACTAACAATTTCCTTATTGGTTCTCGACCTTCCCAGTGCTGTGACCTTGTAATACAGTTCCCCTTTTGTGTTGACTCCCACCATAAAATTATTTTTGTTGCTACTTCACAACTGTCACTTTATTGTTGTTATGAATTATAATATAATATGTGTGTTTTCCGATAGTCTTTCATGACCTCTTTGACAGGGTTGTTCAACTCCACCCCCAGTCACAGGTTGAGAACTACTGTCTTAGAGGATTCACTAGCCAACCAGATTGGCACAGTGATTTGGCCTGCAAGTTTGTCTAGGGATGAATTAGTCTCCTTGATTTTTCTATGAGAGAGGCAGTTGTCACTAAGCACAGAACAGAGCAGTTCTGACTGGCAAGGCTGCTAGGATGGTCACCAGTTTTCCCATCTGTGCTTTCGGGAGAAGGTAAACCTCACTGACTTCTCTAGAAAAGTCCTCAGCCTGACTGACAAAGTTTCTACTGAACCCAGGTAGATAGTTGTTTTCCTGATGAAACTAATGTCAGCATCAGAGCAAAATGTCCCATAGAAACTAAATGTTCAAGACCTCTATGTTAAAGCATCGATAATATGACATTTTATTAACTTATATCTACAGACTCATAGTCTTCTATTTTAGTGTCATTTTATTGTCAAGGAAAAGGCATAATTAGCTGACAGATGTTGTAAAATATTAGTTAAAGATGTGTTACAATGGTTTATAGTGTTGAACATTTGTTTAATGATACAAAGATGTGTTACATTCTTCTACCTTGCATTTGTTTAACTCTGTGAAGCTGTTACTTTGCCTTTCTAAAACACCCGATTGGTCTAATAAATAGCTGAATGGTCCATAGCAGGAAAGGAGAAAGGAAAGGCAGAACTTGCAGGCAGAGACAATAAATAGGAGGAGAAATCTCAGGGGAAAAATCAAGGAATGAGAAAAGGAAGAGAGGAGGATGCAAGGGTCCAGGACCCAGCTACATGGCAAGTCAAGGAGTAAGGAGTTAAGAAAGACCTTAGGATAAAGATAAAAGCTCAGAGGCAATACAGAGCTGGGATAATTTAAGTTAAGGAAAGCTGGCTAGAAACAAGCCAAGTGAAGGCCAGAAAAAATAAGTCTCTGTATATTTATTTGGGAACTGGGTGGTGGGCCCCTCAAAGAACTAAAGAGACAAGAGCCAAAGAGGTTTTAAAAAATTCTTTTAAAAAGTACAGACAATCACCTTAAATATGTTATTATATTAAAACTGCATGTCCAACACCAAATGCTAATGCTAACCCTTAAGAAAAGCGTCACGGTAATTAAAAATTAATACTTCATTATGCTACAGTAACCTCAGAACATTAACATTTTGAACCCCACGTCCCTGTTCTAGATGCCTAGGTAGCATTAGAAATGCTAACATCAGATCTATAGCCTGTGAGGTTTTTAAAAAAATCATTTCTTGGTCTCTTGATATTTAATTATTAAATTATTGAGTATTATGTATAATTATTCTCTACCAGATGTATATGAGGCAATTTCTTATGTCAAGGACAACAGAACATTTACCCATCTGCCTGAGCAGCCACATTGTCATGCCTTTCACATAACTTGCAGTGGGCTTAGAGCTCAGAACGGTGAGAAACAAAGACTTCTGGTGTGAACTGGACCTGCGGGTATTGGAAAACTTACCTTGTCCCCTTCTTCCACACGACAGATGATCTCCTCAGTTGCAGGGTTAAAGACAGGAAATTTCTTGCCTCTCACTGAGTCATGCCACTCATTGTTGATGAAGATCTGTGAGGATGCAGCAAAGGAAGAAAAAAAGTATTTAAATACGCAGTACGGTGAAGGGTTTGATAAACTAGAGTTGATGTATTAAGTGTTGCCAAAATATTATGTGTCTTTCCCTGTCTTAAAAATGCACACATATGTATCATTTAACACCTAAAAAACATAGAGGTAAGACAACTGGGAATTTAGGTGTGTGTTACTAGGACATAGTATCCAGGAGAGGTAGCCTTAAATCCCTGGAAAAGGGTATGATTTTCAGTGTTTGCGCCCTGGAGTTGAATTTCATTAAGAAATTGTTTCAATGTGCATTTGACTCTGTTCCTTTCTCTGTATATATATATATATTAAAAAAATCTTATATCCCCAATCTCTTCAACACCTTTATCACAAAGGGGTGTTGAATTTTGTCAAATACTTTTTCAGCATCTAATGAAATGATTATATGTTTTTTTTCTTTCAGTTTATTCATATGATGGATTACATTGATAGATTTGCGTATGTTGAACCAGCTCTGCATCTCTGGGATGAAGCCTACTTGATCATAATGGATAATTTTTCTAATGTGTTCTTGGATTCGGTTTGCCAGTATTTTGTTGAGAATTTTTGCGTCGATATTCATGAGTGATATTTGCCTGTAATTCTCTTTCTTGGTTGTGTCTTTATGTGGTTTTGGTAACAGGGTAACTGTAGCTTCATAAAAAGAATTTGGCAATGACTCTTCTGTTTCTATATTGTGAAATACAATAAGGAATATGGGTATTAACTCTTCTTGGAAGTTCTGGTAGAATTTTGCATTGAAACTATTTGGTCCTGGGCTTTTTTTGGTAGGGAGGTTTTTGATAACAGCTTCTAATTCTTCACGTCTAACAGGTCTATTTAGATTGTTCACCTGGTCTTGATTTAACTTTGGTATATGGTACTTATCTAAAAACAAGTCCATTTCTTGTACATTTTCCAACTTTGTGGCATATAAGCTTTTGTAGTAAGATCTAATGATTCTCTGAATTTCCAGTGTGTCTGTGGTTATGTCCCCCTTTTCATTTCTGATCTTATTAATTCGTGTGTTCTCTCTCTGCCCTTTGATTAGTTTGGCTAGGGGTTTGTCAATCTTGTTGATTTTCTCCAAGAACGAACATTTTGTTACATTGATTCTTTGGATTGTTTTCTGTGTTTCAATTTTGTTGATTTCAGCCCTCAGTTTGATTATTTCCAGTCTTCTACTCCTCCTTTTTTTCCCAGAGCTTTCATGTGTGCTGTTAAGTCTCCAATGTGTGCTTTCTCCATTTTCTTTAATTGGGCACTTAGTGCTATGAACTTTTCTCTTAGCACTGCTTTCATTGTGTCCCATAGGTTTGAGTATGTTGTGTCTTTATTTTCATTAAATTCAAGGAAGACTTTAATTTCATTCTTTATTTATTCCTAGACCCAGGGGTGATTCAGTAGTTGACTGTTCAGCTTCCATGACTTTGTAGGCTTTCTGGGGTTAGAATTGTTGTTGAATTCTAACTTTATTCCATGGTGATCCAACAAGACACAGGTGGTTACTAAATAACACAAAAAACAGCTAAATAACACGAAAATCTTAGAAAAATCCCTAGAAATATTTGCCAGAATCGGAAATAGTATTCTGAATATAATTCAGAAACAGGAAAATACAAAGGAATGCCTGATTGGACGTTTTTAAGTATTATAAAGCAAATTAAAAGGCAAAATGTCAAACACAATGTACAGGATGAGATATTAAATAGTTGTATATTCAGAACATTTTGAAAGTGCACAAAAATTTTCCATGTGCCATAGCAAGGGATAAGACTGGAGTGAGGGAAGCAAGAAGAAGCAAATAATTTTTAAAATTTGGACATGTGCTTTAATTGTCAGAAAATAATTTGAGCATGATAAAAGCATCCTATGTTTAACAATATGAAAATAAAAATGTTTAATCTTTCCCTAAGCTGTGCAAAACACACCCATGTCTCTCCAGTACAAATGTTGCCACAGGAATCATATCTACAAGAAAATGATTTTCCCAGATGTGGCAAATGTGATCAGACGAATTTGAGTAGAAAAGGAATCAACTTACATGATGATTTTTTTTCTAGTTGTTCATGACTATGTAGATATGTATACAGATAAATGAGGCATTTGCAGAGAGATAATTGTAAACAGATGATGGGTAAGGACTAGAATAAAATACACATAAATGTTAGTACTGGTTCTTGATTATGGTTGATTTGATATTTACTTCTGAGTATTGCAATTTTTCTACTTCATATTTTTCTTGACTTACAATGACTATGTATTTTATTCAAACTGTTGTTTTCAACAAAAATATACCTTTTTTCAAAAACAAATATTAGCGTTGTTATAGGGCCATTGTGAGAAAGCTAACAGCAGCCTTGTGGCTTATTCCATGTGCACAAAGACACTATTAGCTCCTGACATGTTTTTGAGAGTGGAAAGTATTGTCGCTTGATAACTTAAATTATTTAAGGACATGCGCATCTTTATTTTACATATGTGTGAGTTTCTGTGGAGCACATGCATGCAGGTGCAGGAGGACAGAAGACGTTGGCTGACTTAGAACTGGAAAGTGGTTAAGGTATGTGAAATGAGAAAGGAGAATTAAGACCTCAAATCCCAGAAAACAAAATCCTTCTCCCCTGAGATCCTTGGAGAAGCCTCAGAACCTCTCTCTGATGAAGTCTCTGTCAGACAGAACAGACTGTGCAAGATAGAATGACAGAAAATTAGAAGAAAATGAGAGGAGAATGATACAGTGAAAAACAGATCTTGGAAAATTCAGGTAAAACTATTCTAGAAGTTATTTATAAAAAATAAACCAGGGCTAAGATAGCTAAAGTAGAGCCATGAGCCAGCCCTTGCCTCAAGTGCTTCTTATGAATAAAATGCTCTGGCTGTTGTACCCCCTCAGGAAATGGGGCTCCTCATCATCTATATCAATGGCAAAAAGACAGAGGCAGATGGAGGTGACTGAGTTTGACCAGTAGCCCTGTAACTTTACAATGTGTTCCTCATGCTGAAGCTCTGTAGCAGGAATGGAGGCACATGGAGAGTTTCCTCACTGCTCCTGAGGTGTTACAGACAGAAAGCTGATGGGTGTACTTGGATTTACAGAGTTATATAGGCTTCCAATACAAAAGGGATGTATTTTATTTTTTTTTTAAAAAAGGAGAAAAATAGTTCTCAAACACTGAACTCCATTTTACCTACTCCAGTCAAAGAGACACTGAATTAGGAGATGAGTCCTGGAAAGATGGGGCAATGAAACAACGATGGCTTGTTTTGTGCGCAGAAAACAAAAACAAAAACAACAACAAAAAACTACTCTGACAGTTGAGATTATGCGATTCTCTGACTATACCTGTTTATCTTTCTCTTTTTGTTATAAATCTGCTTGCTTGTTCCTTTTCTTGTGCACTAAACACTCTCAGAGAAGGAAAAAAATCTCCTGGTCAAGAGAATAGAATCTTGGAACTAGGTGGAAACTTAACATTAGAGTTGGACCAGTTCAATCACTTTGGACAGGGGACCACTCTAGGAAGCTGGGCTCCCCTTAAGCAAAACTAATAAGATATGGAGAATAATTAGTACTTTAATGAAATACTGTAATTTCTCTTCCCAGAAAACCCACCTCTAATGCATAAGTTTGGACCACAGAACTGTAGGATGATAAGTCTGATCACACTTATGAATTATTCAGAAAAGAATACCTTTCCCTTTTCCTCTTTCTATGTCTCTTCTGAGAATGCTTTCCTTAAAAATGAGATCCTTTTTCCCAACAATATGAACTTCCTGTTCCTTCCCCCAAAATATCCCTGTCCTATGTGTGGCTCTATGTTGGCCATGTGTTCCACTTCAGTGCCTGTCTGAATGATGGGAATGTTCCCCTCCTCCTCCAGTTACCTTCTCTGAGCAGCTGCTGAGGTTTCACATCTGTTTTCCCTAAGGCTTTCCTTCTTAGTTACAATAATAGTCTTCCAGATTCCATTTCATGAGACTGAGAACCCCAAGAAATTACCCTGAATTTTCCCGAGATCAATACAATATACCTCTTGGATTAATAAAGAAGAAAACTAAAACTGAAGAAAAATAATACAAAAATTGAGACACTGGTCAGGCAAAGCAATTTGACAAATAGTTCTCACCGTTACCTTTCTGGTTTGCAACTAGGAACTTAGTTAACAGTCATTATTTCAACCCCTCTTAAGAGTGAAAATCAAATATAATTCTCCAAGGAATGCAGTAAAGGAACACGAAGAAGGATAGAGAAAGCTCCCCATTGAGATTTAATTGCCTACATAGCTGGTGTCTTCCCAAGTGGGACAATGCTGTAACCAGCACATCAAATAATACAATGCTTAATAAGTAGACCAGCCTTACATAGAAAATCAAAATTCACTGAATGGTGTTGTTTATTATTAAGTAGAGAAGTATTTGAACATCAAATAAATGTGTTCTTGACTCTTAAATACTTAGTCTCTCCATTCTCTCTAGAATGTCTTTATGTAATGTTTGCAGCAAAGAAGTTTCAATCTGAAAACAGTTGTCTATGTTTATTGATTACTGGTTCTACCTGCATTGTAATGGGACTTTAAGGAATAGCTTTTTATTCTAGTACTTTCACCTCATTTTTAATTAGTGAGTGCTAAATGAAACAACCCAGAGAAAAGACAGTACACTTTAAAACTTCCTGGAGATACACTAAAACACACACACACAGTCTTAAGAAAATTCATAAATGACAAATGAAGGAGAGGGGGAGGGCCTTTCTGATGACCAATATAATTTTCCATTTGAAATCATGCAAGCAAAACTTTTCTTAATGATTAAACTGTAACTAAACAGTGTGGACAGTTCCCATATTCTTGGAAAACCTGATTTGTACATTGTGACAGATATTTCTTCCAAATAAGAAGAGGGTCAGAGTCTATGGAGTGCACAAACATTGACACCTGTAAGCTGTTGGAGAGTGTGGACACATCCTAGTTCATATACTCTCCTTTGACAAAACCTACACTGAAAGCATTTTCTGTCCAAGAAAGCCTGGTGAAATCATGCATCAGACGTGTCTAGCTGCTCATGGACCATGGCCAAGGTCCACAGACTCTAGCCTAAGCAAAGAGCCCTTAGGCTAGGCAGCTCCTAAGGGTACATGGAAAAATGCAAAAACTTCAGGAATTTGAATGTGAGCTACATTTGCTCACAAAGATAATGAAATAGATGAGAGAAGGCATCAAGTCTCCTCACTAACTTTAACACTCTCTGATTTCCTTGTGTGGTTCAGCACCCAGCATGGTCCTCCCAGAGTTGAATAGTTCGTCTCTCACTTTATTTTCTGCATCAGGCTATAACACGGCTAATTTTAAGTGACTTTTCTAATAACTTGATTGTGTGTGTGTGTGTGTGTGTGTGTGTGTGTGTGTGTGTGAGAGAGAGAGAGAGAGAGAGAGAGAGAGAGAGAGAGAGAGAGAGAGGCAGGCAGACAGAAAAGACAGACAGACAGACAGAGTGTGAGAGAGAAACAGAGAGAGAGAGAGAAAGA